AGCACTGACCTCCGCTTGGGACCAGCTGGCCAGAGGCAGGTCACCCCTTCCAGAAGGAACGATTCAGCAAGTAGAACTGGACAGAGAATTCCATCGCCGCCGCGGCGCTAACAGGATCGACTCACGGTACCAGGGAAATCAGCAGCGAGGATCCAAAGACGGGCAGGCGGCAGAAGTGGTGAGGAAGGAGGATCAAGTTTTACCAGCTCACTCTTCCGGCCATGACCACACCAGAGAGCTGCCGCTTATTTTTTCGTCTTGAAAAAGAATCTGGAAACTCCTCCAGGTGGGACACGGTTAAAAAGCAACTGGCAGCCCAGGGGCTGGCGGTGATCCAAGCATCCCTTGGGGACGCCCACACAGCAGCGGGGGGTTGCAATGCTTTGCCTGGGGAGTCGGATACCTTAACCCCTGCTTGTTTGTACCTAGCCACAGCAGCGCGGCTGCCGGCGTGGGCTTGCCGGGCAGGGCCGCAGCAGGGGGCACGGGTACGCTCAGGCCCAGCCAGGCTGGCACTAGCAGGCTTGTTCAGGAAGAGTTAGCGCGGGTGATACTGCGGCCGTGGCCAGCTAGGGGGAGGAGTCGGCCACCAGGGTGTTTGGAAAGGCACCTAGGGAAGGATTTCGAAGGCCGCAAGCGGGTCGGTTTCCGATCCAGCCTCAGCACCGCACGTTACGACAGGGCGCCCGCCTCTGATCAAGCCGGGCTGGGCAGGGAACCTGCCAGCAGGAGCCAAACCTCACCATCAGCGGCACTCTGAGGCGCTATTAACCCGTCTTCCACAGCCAGGAGATGCCGTCACAGCTCACAAGTCCCAGCAGGACATCTTCCGTCTCAGCCCAGGACTCGCTGGCTGGCTCCCGATGGGGACCGGGCACGGCGTGCGGGGACGGGGCGAGGTTTGGCTCCAGGAGCAGAGCTCCGGGGAGAGGGTAGGGCGACAGCGAAGCAGAAAACCAGCAGGCACAGGGAGGAAATTCACTGGCAGGCCCTCCCTCCGGAGGGTCGGCTGAAGTTCTCCTCGCTTCCTGGAAACCTTGTTGCTTGTGGCAGGAAGGGGGCAACTGCACGGTAAAGCGCAGGAAGAGAAAAGCAGCACGCCCGCCTCGCACGGCCCTGATAAGTTCGCTGGGGTGGTCAGCAATCCCAATGGCTGGATTTCAGATCATCCTCCCCATCCCCCAAAGATACCAAAGTCAAGGGGCATCGACCAGGTCGCCCCCGTTTCTTTCTGGCCATTTTCTCGTTTTTTTACCTACACGGAAGAATTGCCCCTCTACACCAACTGCGCCTGAGCTCCCTAGGCCAGTTAGTCACAGTGTAGCTCCCACCACTGCAGGGGGCCACCCTCTCTTCCCATCCCCCGCCACGTGGGTCCCCACCTGCCTGTCCCGCAAACGGGCCACGTCATCCCCGCCACAGGCTGGCTGGCTCCTCCGCCTCCCGGTCAGCTTCTCAGCGGGAGGGGCAGCGAGCGGCGACCCAGCAGCCGGCTCTGTGCCGACCACCGGCGGATGCTCAGCAATCCCTGGCCACAGAGGCAGACCCGAGAGGGAGCGGAAGAAAATCAGCAGACGCTTGAGCAAAAAGCCCGACCCCGGCAGGTGCGGCACACCCGCAGCTCCCAGCCGGACGTGGGGGGATCCCAGAGCGAGGCCCAACGTGCAGTTCGGACAGCGCGGGGAGGGGAGAGACGTGCACCCGACCGCTGAGGGCACAAGGCCCACAATGCAGAGAACAGCGCAGGCACAGGCGTGTGTGGGGGGTGGGGGAGCACAGCCAGCGACACGGTCTTCCAGTTCAGAAACAAATCTAACGTAGTCTGGTGTTCACAACGCTCCCAGCCCTCAACTCCCGCCTCCTGACACCCTCAGCTCCGGCAGCGAGCGTCCATCCCGGAAAGGGGCAACCGTAGGGCTGGAATTCACTCAGGCCCACCGTCAGGGGGCAGACGCTGGCTTTCGGGGATCAGCCACGCGCCAGGTGACCCCTGCCTGCCCTGGAGCTGCCAACAGGTGTTGGCGGCGCTGTCATGGGTCGTCTTGTTCTTACCGTCCCGCCTCCCGCTTCCACATCGCCCGGCCCGAGCAGCAAGGCGAGGCTGGGAGAAGGGGCTGCCTGCAGACGGCCGGCGTGGTTCATTTCCAAGTGATGTGCAGCCCTCGGCACCTCTAGTCCTCGCCTCTGGCTCCTTTCATTTTTCTTCTTTTTAAACGCTGCCTTTCCTCCAGCGCTGTTGGGGACTGTGCAGCCCGTTCACACGCAGATCCTGAGCGCAGGAGAGAGCGCGCACAACCTCTCTCGACGCGACAGTCTCATAAGGATGTTATTCCCCCGCCCCCGGTGAACACGGATCACCCCATAGCCGGGGGCGATAGTGCTTTCTTAGCGAAGAAGGAAACCGAACTCTCAGAAGGAACAAGGGTAGGACCGTGTACAGCTGGGGTAGGATTCTCCGTCGAGTAGTTCGGTACTTAAGTACCCAGACTTGGTCCCTTTTGGAGAGTCACGTCACTCTACCATTCGTCCAAAACATACGTCTGTACAAACGGATTCCGACAGCAGACCTGCGTCCCCAGGGCTGCTGACAAACCCAGCAGTGCACAGACGTTTCAAACCAGTGGCAGGGAGCGGCAGGGTGAGGACAGTCAATGGTGATCTGGAGCAGCGCCGTCGCCACGTCTGGCCAGAAAGCGCTATGCCTCTCTCCGAGTCCTCATCAGTCACAAATCCAACACGGCAGCAGGCGCCGGCCCCTCGGGACACTGATAAAACGGCAAGACCCTCTATAGCAACCAGGGCGCAGGCACGATCTTCTAGCCCGGCCTGCTGGAAGACGGGAAGCGACGAGACAAACGAGGGAAGAAGCGCTCGAGTCTGCGGCCATCTCCGTACCGGCCTCTGTTCTCACCCGGCCACAGGGCGGCTCCGTAATAACGACGGAACGGGGCTCCGGTCACTCCAAGGACGCGACTTGGAACTGCATTTCCTCAGCAGCAACTCAGAGTGAAACCCACGAGCCACTTGCCCCTGCTGTGGGGATCTGGCACGTCTGAGATGCCCGACCACCCGCTGGCAGCTCAGCACCGTCCTAGGGATCAGCACTCGGTCTGGACTCAGCCTTCGGTGCCTCTGCACGTGGACGCCAGATCACGGGACGAGTTCATTTATTTTGCTCTTTCTACCATAATGTAAGCAGCAGGGAAGCAGGGGGCCCGTCAGTGGTCAGCCCTAAGAGAGGCCCTTGAGAGGCGCTGCGGGTCCTACGCCCTCCTGAAGACAATTGGGAACTGGGTGTTGCTTTTTTGCACGGCCTCACGCTCCTTTGGAGCTGGACGGAGTCCTCGGAGCTCTGCCGGCGACCTTCCGACCCTGCCCGCCTCCCCCTCTGCTCGCTCCTCCCGAGGCCCCGAGCGCAATTCTTGCCCGTCAGGCTAGCCACGTGCACCCCGGCGCTGGTGGGAGAGGGACGGCCAAGCGAGTTAGAGTGGTGCCCTGGCGAGCCCCAGAAAAGCAAAGCTGACGAGACCGTCGCGGTCGAGTCTAAGTCCCAGCCTGAGAGCGGAGGAGACAGGGGGCATTGGCTTCCCAGCGCAGGCTGAGGGAGGCAGGGGTGTCTGCAGCAGGAGAGCTGGGCCTAAGCTTTGTATCGGAAACATGGACGAGATTCTTTCACTTCCCCCCTCCTCTTCCAAAAGCCAGGACCCTGGGGTCCCCGTTCCCAGCGCCTTTCGCGGTCGAGTCTAAGTCCCAGCCTGAGAGCGGAGGAGACAGGGGGCATTGGCTTCCCAGCGCAGGCTGAGGGAGGCAGGGGTGTCTGCAGCAGGAGAGCTGGGCCTAAGCTTTGTATCGGAAACATGGACGAGATTCTTTCACTTCCCCCCTCCTCTTCCAAAAGCCAGGACCCTGGGGTCCCCGTTCCCAGCGCCTTCTGGGTCCCCACGGAGCCTCGTGGTCTAGCGCACCGGCGGAGGCGTGGCGTTGCCCCTCCCGCCTGCCAGGGGGCGCTCTCTGTTCGGAGTGAAAACGGCTCTCAGCGGTCGGAGCCAGCGGCCGATTCGGTCTGATCACCGGGACACGCGGGAACGGGCGTCCTGGTCCAGGGGGCGGTGCCAGGCCCGAGGAAGGTCGCCAGACTCCTCCCCTCACCCGCACTGCTGCAGAGCCGGCTTCGCGGTACAGCCAGCAGGTCCACCCCCCGGCCACGCCAATGAGAAAACACCTGCCCGCCCCAGCCACCCGGGGGGATCTGCCTCATCAGCCACAGGCCCCAACCCCGCCACGCACTCCACGGACCACTCATCGGCCTCACTTGTGTTCTCACGTGGGGATGTGGCCAGCCACAAAAGCTAACACGATTCAAAGCACCTCCCTCTTCCGCCCTCTGGTCGGGACACCTCCTGGAGGAGGAGGAAAGAGGGTGCCCTTGTCTTCGCCCCACCGTGCCTCATGTTTCTATCTCGTCAGAGGAACGCACCCTAATCCATCCACAAAACCCACGCCGCCTTCAGGGCCACGGCAGGAGAACCCAGACCTGGCCTGGGTACAGAGAACGCCTCTGACAGCGGAATACTGCCCTGTGCCCCACCCCTGCGTAATACTGGACGTGGGACTTTGGCAGAAGCCAGCTGAACCTAAGACGGGCGCCCCTGGACCGCGGAGGGAAACGGCAATACATCCGGCCCCCGAAGGGCTAGGAGCCGGCAGGGGGCCCATGTGGGGCTGCACTGCCAGCTGCAGCTCCCCAAGGCCAGGCCTCCAGAGACAACGCCCACAGGCGGCGGGGGGTTCCTCTCCCTCCCGCACTGCGGTTGTTGCTTTGCAGAGTCAGCAGCTACATGGTCTCACAAACAGCCAGCAATGGTTTTGTGGAATATTCTAAGCAGCAGCCCCTCCCCACAGCCCGGCAGGGGCTCTCAGCAGGATGCACAGTGCAACGATTCGTTTGCTTAACACCAAAGCAACGTCTGGCAACACGGAACGTATATTTATAGGATATCTTCATGAAGGACCAGACATCTTCATAGCAGCACTTCAGCAGCCAGCTGCGCCGCGTAGACCTTGCCGAGATCAACCGCGGGCCAGCTGAGTTTCAGAAACGAATCCGAGAGCCTCCCTCTTCCGCAAGGATTGGTTACGGGGATAGTTCCTTTGTCCTGGCATTGGCAGATCATTGAAATACTGCAGCTTAAACGAGTTCTGGGGAAACAGAAACATGGACAATCCTTTGGTGCACAAAATTCTCGCATCGTTTTAAGATCAGAGCGGCCAGACTAGGTCAGATCAAAGGTCCATCCAGCCCAGTGTCCTGTCTGCCCACAGTGGCCAATGCCAGGTGCCCCAGAGGGAGTGAACACAACAGGGCATCCTCATGTGATCCTTCTCCTGTCGCCCATTTCCAGACAAACAGAGGCTAGGACACCATTCCTACCCATCCTGGTGAATAACCATGAATGGACCTAACCCCCATGAATCTATCCAACTCTTTTTCGAACCCTGTTTAAAGTCCTGGTCTTCACAACATCCTCTGGCGAGGAGTTCCACAGGTTGCCTGTGTTGTGTGAAGTAGTACTTCCTTTGGTTTGCTCTAAACCTGCTGCCTATAAGGAAAACCTCTTATTTACAGTGCATTCCGAGCAGGTGAAAGGTGCTAGGTTCAGGGCTCTGGTCGGGGTTTATTTTTACACGGAACAGGGAGAACGTGCCCCAGGCTGTGATACACAGCAAACCTGCCGCACCCTCACCAGGAATTCCAACTGCCACCAGGGGCCCCAGATGCAAGAGTGGCAGATACACTAACCGAAGTAGGCAAGCCAAGGCCAGCCTAAGGCTTACAGCGTCAAATCAAATCCAGCTGCACCACTGATCCCCTATAGCAGCCTAGAAGTGGTAACTCCTTGCTGGGAGAAAAGCCGGGGGGATAACACCCCCCCCACACAGGCGAGGCCTGGTCTTAGCAGCCTACAGCCAACGTGGCTGGGGGTTGGACCCTATTCAGAGAGAATTCTGTACATCAGCGAATTTCCATTTCACCAGGCTGGACTCGCTCACTTGCCCCTCCCGCACCGGCCAAACCGATTCTCCCGCGTGGCTCACCCTTGGGGAAGCGGAGCGGCCACTCCCCGGGATGCAGGGCAACCGGCATGATTCGGCAGAACCCTCTCGCTGGGCGACAACTGGCCAGGACCAAGCAACAGCTCCTCCACTCACTCGACAGAACACCCCCACCTCCCGCCCGTCTCCCGCCTGATTTAATTGCTGGGGAGGCCGGGGTTGTAAGGGTTGCAGGCGCCACATGCCAGGAGTCCTACAATCAGCCCTGCTCAAAGGTGTCTCCTGGCAGGCTGATGGTTTGCCTCGGCGCCCCCGGCCCGGCTCACCTGTGCACGCGCGCGGTCCAGTGCGGGGCGCTTTATCTGGAGATGTAGGTGTATGTTCTGGACGGGGAGCGGGTCCGTGCAGCCTGGGCAGCTGGGTCGTTCAGGAAGTCCCACATGAGGATCGTGTCGTCGTGTGAGCTGCTGATGATCTGGAACTCGTCAAACTGGAGTCGGAAGACTCTCCCAGAATGCTCCTAGGCAGGGCCAGAGACAGAAGAGGCATCGCTTTACAGACTGCCTGGCGCCGGCAGAGTGTGCGTGTGTGTGTGGGGGGGAGAGGTGTGGGGGTGGGAACATTAACAAGGGCTTGAATGGATTCAGTTTTGGTCAGCCGACCTTCCCTGGCCAACATGGCACAAGCTAAGCCCTCTCCGGGCCTGGGAGCAGAGACCTGGCGCTCGGGGGATGCCAGCCCCGAGTGTTCCCGGGATTAAGGACGTTCCGGTGTATTCAAATAGCCGGGGATGGTGTTTCCAACGACCGAGTGATGCTCCGGGGAGGCGGGGGAAGAGTGGGACCACCGCAGCAGGTGCCGCGCAGAGACCGCAGGAGAGAGGCATCTCGAAAGGCTGCTTTGCAAACCAACTTTCCAGTCCGCGTTTCCTCACTGGGATCCCGCTCCCTAAAGCGCCTCTGGACCCTGCCCCCCCAGCTCACGTGCTCCTGCCAGCAGGGAGTTCTGGTGTCCTTGCTCAGGTTCCTACGTGTCCGCCCCACAGCCCGATTGACAGTGCGGCTATTGCGGGTGCGTGCTCCCCACTGCTGGGAAACGCAGGTGGCACTGCCCTAGTCCAGTGTTTCTGAAACGTTTTACGATGGAGGAACACCAAACACGGGTTTTTTTTAAATGAGGAACGCCAAGGACTTTTTGTTGAGAAAAAAAATAGGGTGGGGGGAAAAAAAGTTGCCTGCCCCTTTAAGCGTGGCCATTTTGAACTCTGTTCTCCGCGGCCACGGAACAGTTTAAGAAACGCTGCCCTAGTCCAACTAAGCCGGCCTGGTTCGGAGACACACACGGGGCCCCAGCAGCGCCTCTGACCGGCACAGGATCAGCCCTTCACGTACTGGGCTCAGACTCTGCGGGCAGGTACAGCTCGAACCTCTCTGGTCCGGCAACATCTGTGCTTGAGCCCCTGGCCCAGAGAGCTGGGTGGCCAGGAGTTGGCCGCGGCAGCCCTGGGGCAGCGGAGCCGCAGCAGGCGGGCGCAGGGGCAGCTCCGGCATCCAGCTGTGGCAGCCCTGGGACAGGACCCTGGGGCAGGGGAGCTCCACTAGGTCTGCGGATAGACCCTGGGAGAGCCCGGAGACCCATCAGCTGAGGGATGGAATTGACCTCCCCGGTCCGGTCAAGTCCCCCCTTCGGGACCAGTCAGGTCCCCAGGGTGCCGGACCCAGGAGTCCGGCCTGTTCGCTCACAGGCCCTGGCCGCTCCTTGGCGTGGCAGGTGACAAGAGGGGTGGGGGCGGGTTGTGCCGTGCTAACGAGTGGGGCTTCCAAGGTCCTGCCTGACGACCTGCCACTGAGAAAGACTCAGGAGCCTGAACCTCGAGGACCGGCCGCGCGGCTTTACAATGCCCGGCGGCTCGCCCGGCGCCCGAAACAAGCTCCCACGTCCTCGCCTCCGGCTTCTCCAAGTGAACTGCAGGCTGGATGCAAACCCTCCCGGAAAAGCACAGCACCAGTCAGGCTCGGGCGGGGCCCTCCGCAAC